AATTGGGATCCATAGAAAATTATATAGACTGTAAAAATAATATTTTTCCTGCGTTTATGTTCCACTCAAATCAACGTCATGTGGTCAGCTTGCACATGAATTACTAGCAGGCTTATATCTGCAAATAATATAACATATTAGTTTTAATATTAATTTAAAATCATTCAATTTTTTTATGTTATTTTATCAAAAATTTATTATAGGTTATATATCAACACAAATTTATCGCAACAAAACAATATTTTTTAAATTACGTATAAGATTGAAGAAATTAATAAAATTAATTAACTATAGAATAGAATAAGAAGAATAAATAAAAAGAAAAAATAACGATGGAAAAAATTTTTTTAATATATATACAAGTACATTTATACACAATATATTCTTAATAAAAATCGTATCATATTTTCTGCTTTATTATATTTCATGTTGCATTCATCGAATTGAATAATGCTTTTCACACGAGACAGGATAGAACGCGCATCATTATACAAGCAACGGAGATGCGAAAGGAATTGGCGAGCGTTCGAAAGAGCCCACCTGTTGCAACCACCATACTCTCTACTAGTTTAACACGGTGATCAACGCGCGACCCTATTCGAGTTCTATAAATTTTCATGGAGGAAAATGCTTTGCATCGCAACTATTAAACTGGACTGATGAATGAACGCGAAGGAATACGAAGGGAGAAAGAGAAAAAGATAAAAAGAACTTATGAAAAAATTTAAATTTATACATAAATTAATTAAATTAATAAAATTAATCTAAAAAATTAATCTAACTTAACATCAATTTATGATATCAAAATATATGTAATCTAATGCATCATATTTTAATCAATTCAATCATTTTATCTATGTAATGATTTAATATATCTATATATATTAATATATAATATATATATAATATAATAATAATAATATATATATATATAATATGCATAGCGATCGAATGAAAATTATATTCAGTTACCGACAGATAATGTTAGATGGAGACTGTGACAATTTACAAGCACGGGTAACAGCACTTGTAGTGAAGCACCTTTGTAATTTCCATGGGTTCCGAAACAACGCTTAACAATAGGTTCGCGATACGGATAGGGCCTCTCATCAAACAAAAAGGCCACTTTGGTTCCGAATGGACGTCTGTGCTTTTTTGTCTCTAAACACCACCTGTTCGTGGGAAACATTATTGACACCATCATGAAAATCTTACGTTAACGAATCCGTAGAACTAAGTTAATATACAATCAAAAAGAATGTGCGTGTAAATAATTGAACATCAATTTCTTATTAATACAATGGAAATTTCGTGCCATATGGAAATAATAATCAGAAACGGTATAATAATCAGAAAACAAAACAATTAAAAATATTTTCATAAAAACGTTTTTATTTAATGTCGTTTAAGTTATTTAATTTTGTTTAGGTTATATACATTTCATCTATTTAATATAGATTTATTTATTTAATTTTTTATTTTATCTTTTATTTGAAATTTGAAATTAATTATGAACAGATAATACATTTTATAACGAATCTTTAGCATTTAATGATATATTTGAAATAAAATAAAATCGTTTCCAAAATACATAAATACATAATACATATTAGATAACGGTCATCATAACAATTTTATTTTTCCTATGGGTAATATAAGAATATTAACTGAAAGAGTGAATCGAATCGATTGAATTACCACGAAAATTCTCGAATGATATCCGATCGTGTATTCAAGCTATGAATTCGATTAAGCATTGCGTGGCCCACCATGAACCGTTTATCGTTTAGGGATTTCGATTTAGGGATTTCGTGTCCTCGTTGCGTACATGGTAAGTTTATATATCTGCCTTGTGTACCATAAGGCAACGTTATAGAATTTATCCATATCAAATTTACTTCTTCCTCTTAGCTTACCATTTATTTTGATATATCTATAGAATTCTAATAATCGCAAGTTCATTTTTGATGTAATATATTTTATTCTATTTTTAATCATCATTTTTCATACTATAATTTTTTATATAAAAGAACTATGAATGAAAAAGAAAAAGAATCATTGATATCATTAGTTTGTGGATAAATAAATATAGACACTTACATCATAGAATCTAGTGCACTTATCCAACTTTTTAATGTATTCGAATATTTTTTATATTCATTTTTTTATATACAATGCTTCATAATTCGAACATATATGTGTTTAGTTATATGTATCCTCGAAGGATTTCGCTTAACTGCGAAGCTTCGCATGCCCCGATGTAACCTAATCTCGATACGAATAGTATCGACTTAATTAGCTAAGTATGCCTGCGGCGGGACATTATTACACCACATTTTACTACCCACCAGGCAATAATTCCATCCCTTTGACCTCTTCCTCCAACATAGCCATGAGCAAATGCTCGTGGCCCGAAAGGGTGCCACAGAATTTCGAGTCACGCTAAGAAGTGGAATAGATGTTATTGATACTGAACTATTTTCAATACGAACGCATCTGGACATCTTTTTCCTTCTTTCTTTTTTGATTTAATAAACGGTCAGACATAATATTTTAGCAAAGAAAAAGAATGAAGTCATTTACCTTTTCTGTAGATATAGGTTATTAAAAGTTAGGTTAAAAAAATAGAAAATGTGGATAAAAGATATGTGAAAAATTGAAATAAAAAACGAAAGAGGATAAGATCGTTGAATAAATTGGAGATTTAAGTTAGAGAATTAGTTTAGAAAGTTAAGTCAAAGAGAACAATGATTAGGTTAGGTTACGTTAATAAATATTGAAAACAAAAAATGTAGAATTATTTAAAAACGAAATATCTGAAAGTTATTTTATTTAAACTAATATCCAAAATAATAAAATGATATTATGTATACTCTATGTAATTTCAAAAAAATTTCAATCAATAAAATTCTCTAAGCATTGCAAGTCATTTGTTGAACATCTATTTTCTCATTTTTTATCTTTCTATTCTTGCGTCAATAAATAAAAAATAGTCTGCCAGAACTATTTAACTAACGATTATTATTTTAATCAAAGTCTATAAATTTATTGTTCCTCATGACTGAATAATATCTAAAAATTAATTTCATTTGAATCCTATAAATTTTATATTATTGTGAATTAATAACAATAAACAAAATCGATTTGAATAAATAGAAATTGAAATATGTCGATATATTATTGATCAATCAATTTTTTCATCTATCAATTTCCAATTTTCACAAATTGGATGATTATTATAAAAGAAAAAAGTTTTAACTTAAGTATATTTTTTTATATAATATTATTATTTTTCATTACAATATTTTTTGAATTTCCTTTTTTTTTGAATGATTTCCTGTTTTAATTTTTAAAAATATGATCAAGTAGTATGACCAAATTGTTCATAAAACAATTATTCAATTTGAAATTATGAACATCATAGATATCTAATATTAGATAAAACAGTTTATGAAATTTTTATATTTATTTATAGATTTCAGAATTAATTATATATATACATATATATATATATATATTTAATATATCACATGATTTCATTAAGCTACTTAAATATGAAGCATATTTTTTTTAATCAATAATAAAATACTAAAAATATTGAATAGACTTATCTGATTTAGTCACTGTTTTTAACGTAAGTATCATATAGAAATAATATAGAACTGAATTGATCAATTGCTTAGAATCACGCTACTGATATATGATAATATGCATACTGTTGCTGTGATTATCAACGCTGAAGTAACCAAGCAAACACTTATAAAAATAAGAAATATCATATATATGCATAACGAACATAAAATTGAAATAATATTGAACATTAATAAGGACTACATAAATTTTAAATTCCATTTTTCAATCAAGATATGCAATTCCTATCTATGAATTATTAAATTAAATATAGTTATAATGATCTAAGTATGTAATAGAATTTTTAAATTTAGATTTTTTTCTATTTAAATATTTTTGCATTCGATAATTTTTTGTTCAATATTTAATATGTTATAAATATAAAACTGATCATTAATTCAACATACAATCTTGAAATGCAACATGCTTTGACAATGCGGGCGATATTAGTATTCACGGTCGAATCACAATCTAAGGTCCTTTTACATTGCCAAACCCCTATTTTATTCATGGACATATAATGATTATCGTGACCTTCCTTATACATATTTTTTTTTACATTCTTAAAAATTCTTTACATCGTTATATATTTTTAAAATCTATCCTCCATGAAATGAAAAAAATTTATGATAATCTAAGTTATATAAATATATTTATTATACCTAACGCAATAAAAAAATATCAAGTATAATATCGAAGTATTAAAATTTTAATATAAGATTTTATATAAAAGAATTTTATTAATTCATTATCTTTTTTATTTAATTTATTATTTTATTATTATAGGGTATAAAATTAAATGAAGAATAATTTCAAAGCAAAATAAACAGAAATTTTTCATATTTTATTAAACTTTTAAAATTTCTAAAAATATGAATTTAAAATTTCCAAAATATTTAATATTAAGATAAATTGAACAATTTGTATTTATTATTAAAATAAATTAAACGATTTCAAAAAAACAATTGTAGAAAAGAGAAGCATGTACAGAGCATGGACTACTATAGAAATTGCACGTGGTATGTATCAAACGCATGCGTACAAAAGATCTTCCAACTTCACTGTAATAATATTGCAGTAGGTTAATACTAGACTCATATGCACATGCGCGTGCTTAGGAGGGGCAAAATCTTCGAAATAGAATGAGTAGTGGGGTGAATCGCGCGAATCCCAGAACAGAGTGGAGCGATGAACCGTTCTGTAGGATGTAACAACCAGTCAGTAAAGAGGGGAAAAGCAATAGTGGGGGATAATATACAGCATTCTATAGAGCATAAATGTAGAAGTGGGGCACGTGCCAACTTCTACTCAAAGAGATGTATGGTGGGGATATGACCGATGGTAGGGGAAATATGCATCTTGGAGCACGACGAACAAAATTTAAGGTAGTCTGTGAGCAGGCGAGTGACTATGCGCTTGCGTGGCCGTCGGAGAATTCTCTTCCTTTTTTAATTTTCCTTTTTTTCCTCTCGCTGTTTTTGTTCGCATTTTCCTTTCCTCTCGTTTCTTCTCTTTTCTTCATCTTTTTCTTCAGAACATCGATTCAATCTCCGAGGGTCTACAACCTTCTTCCCTGCTTTCCTTTCACCCGATTCGACATGTTAAATTGAAATCACCGAAAGCAATTGTTGAGCCAGGCCAATTTTGGAACTGATAATACGAACCTACCCAAATTGGATCAGGAAATACACCGAAGATTCTTAAGTGAAATTAAAATGAAATTCGTCGAACTGGCAAAACATTGAAGAATATTCTGATAATAATAGCTATTACTAAGTAAGTACCATGCACTTATAAAAATAACATTCATATATATTATACGAAAATAAAAAATTAATATTTTTATTAGACACAAACACCAATTGATTCGAAATGATATGATGACACTATTCACTGATAAAACACGGCTGAACTATTGTTTGACGGATCGTCAATAATGTCGAAATTGGAAAAGGGAAAGCAAAAATCATCTATTATTGAGAATTTGTAAATATATTTATTTGTATATACAAACACATATACGTAATTTATATAAAGAGAGAGATGTAGAGTACTGATATTAAAAGTACAACGCTACTCAAGACATGCTCGGTGAATGAAAATTTCTTTCGAAATTGGCCAGTAGTCGGCGTTGCAGATCACATACTAATGTATCCAAGAAATAATTATGTACATCAACAACTTCAACAAATTCTTTATTTTCATAAAAAAGCAAAGATATTTTGGGACACAACTGGGAAGATATATTACAAATAAACATTTACAAGTTTTATAGCAGATATGTATATATAATATTATTACAATGGAATAGTTACCAAAGATCTGTTTCTATTTATACTGCCTTCTTAATGGACAGGATGAAGATATCATTGAAAGCTGTATTATAATCTTCGACTCCGACGTTTTATTGGTATGCTAGTTAATCTTTTATTTAATTAATTAATTAAATAATGCAAAACTTTAAAAATGTGTCTATTCTGCGATGAATGATTATTGGCATTAATGTAAATATATTTTTATAATGTAAGTGATTCTAATATTTATTCATAATGATTCATAAATAGTTATAAGTTTTTGTATTTTATTTTAAGATTTTAGAAATTAGAGTTTTAGAAATTAAATTAAGATAATAATAAAATATTTTTCTAAGAAATTTATAAAATTTTCGAAAATTTCAAAACGCCGAGCAATAATTTATCGTAATTTATTTATTTAAGATTAATAATGGTTTTTCATTTTGAGTTTCATTTTAGTTTTTCTTTCTTTTACTTTACTTAAATTACAAATAGCAAAAGAAAGAAAATTCATTTGAAATTAAAATGAAACAAAAACAACATAACGATCTAGTCAACAAGTGATAAAGATTTAAATATTTAATGCGAGAATCAAAATATATAGATAATCTAGTCTAAAAAAAAGAAAAATAGTCATGATCTAGTCAGAATCGAGTAATATTTATCTAATCATAAAATATATATTATATTCTAGTCATTATTTAATATTCCAATTGGTGCCACGAATCAACTTCGAGACAATTTTTTTAAAATTTCCTTGTGGATTACTACTAAAAATTAAGCTGAAAATAAATTACAAAAAGTATATATTTAGTTTAATTTCATGTAGCATCAACGAGGCTGTGTACATATTTTTTCGTGTCTTTTTGTTTCTAATCACACCATATTTCTAGTCATTGCATTTTCAATTAATACATAGATATTATAAGTTTCATTTCATATTCCTCAAAGGATATGCAGGCCACATATAAATGCAATTTGGAACTTTTTTCAAATAGTATCTAGTCATGTAAACATTTGTTCATGTATTTATATATATTTTCTCAAACAAATATGTGTGGATGCGATGCCATAAAAAAGTTAAATTGCAAAAATATATTATACTCGATTTTTATAATTTTAAAAAAATTAAAAATAGTTTAAAAGTTGCAGTATATATATATATATATATATTATTTAGTCATATATAGATTAATATAATTTATTGATTAATCTATTTATTTCGGGAAACGTGCCAGTAACTTACATTATGCCATTATTATATAGAGTTCATAAAAAAGATTTTTTAATAATGAAACATAATTTCAATTATATAAAACAAATAAAATTTTTACAATAATTAATTTCATAAATCATTTTTTTAAATTAATATACTACTAATGCGATTGTCGGCAAAAACAAATATTACCTACATAGAGTATTGATAATTTTAATATTTTTCTAAACTCATACAATTTGATGAAAAATTAATTAAATCCATAAAAAGGTCCTATATGGCAGCTTTAAAGATAAAATTAATATATATTTTTCATTAATTTCAAAATAATAAAATTATTAAGCAGAAATATATAATAAATTAAAACAAATCATATATTTTTAGATAAAAATGCGAATTTATAAAAGTATTACGAGGCTGTGTTTAATAAATAAGAAAAATGATATATTAATTAATATAATTTTCATTTTTTTTTAAGTTAGATATCTTTATTAGTACATTTCGATAATATCCAATCATAAATATACCGACTGAAGATAATATATAATATTTAAATTTCACAATAATTTTATTTATTTTGAAATATTATAACAACAAACTTATTTATTATATTATTTATTCTGTACAGCGATTATCAAAAAAATTTTATTTAAGTTAACATAACTATATTATTAAGAGTGGCATCTAGTCAACAAATCCATGAACACTAACTCGAACAGTTTAATCCAGGTATTCAAAAGAAGAAATAAGAAAGAAAATTAATTAAATAAACAGTATGTTAATTAATAAAAAAAGAAAGAAAATAATTCATATACATTTTATAAATTTTATAATTTTTTATCGTGCAACTTTTTTTTATATTTAACTTGGCCAACTTAGTAGAGTATATATGATCTCGGTTCATGGATAATAAATCTAGTCTACGATATTTTGAAGAAAGCGAAAAAAAAATCAAGATTAAATCCAAAGTATAATTAATAATTAAATATATATATATATATAACTTAACTTAAAAATATCTTATCATAATTTAAAATAAAAATCTTTATCATAGTTTATAATTTAATAGCAAGACTTTGTAAGTATCTTACGTATGGTAAATTATATATTAAAGTAGATTTTATAAGATAATTTATAAAATATTTAATAAACTAAATTTGTAGTATAAAAATTTAGAATGTAAGTAAGATAATTATACTACTTGTACTTCATTATATTTTTTTTTTTTTATTAATAATTTATTAATAATAATTTGCTGTGTTGTGTGCTGTATGTTTTTTTCAAATATTTATTTATCAAATATCTATATGGTAATATATATATCTAATATGGTAATATATATATAATTTTTTTGCATATTTATTGACATTATATTTGTGTGTCGTGTGTGTGTATTATTTTCATATTATATTATTAATAATTAAAATTATAATCAATAGTTTTGTTGTCAGAAATTATGATTTCAATTAAAATTCATAATATCCATCTATATTAATAATCATATTTTTGTAATTGGTATAAACAATTTTAATATGAAAAATTAATTTTTCTTTGTAATATCCAAATATATCGAATAAAATTTTAAACCTCAAAAGCGTATTTATTTATTTTTGGGTTATTGCCACTTTCCTTATGTTACATTTTAAGTAAGTATTACAAATAATTTAAAATATATATATTAAATACTATACTAATGTTATACTTTTATGAAATTTTGTGTCATACAATTAAAATATCGATTTTTAAAAAAAATTTTATTAAATTCGTTACTTAAATTAAAAAGTTTTAAAATTATATATTATTGTATTTTTATTTTATTTTATAATCAATCAAATTATAATATATATATATCATTATTTATTAGATCACAATATAATCAATATAACAAAAGAATAGAATTCAATAAAATTTATTTTTCTCGAAATAACTTTATTTATTTCGAATTGTTTGGTTATGTGAAAATTGTATATATATTTTTTCGAATTTAATAAAATAATTTCATAAAATTTAATTAAAAAATGCAATTAATAATACAAAAAAATGTAATATTCACGATTATTTTTATAAATAATATAATATATTTTTATAAATTATAATAATTTAATATTTTTCATATTTAATTTGTAAATATTATATAATATTATTGAAAAATCAATAAATCAAATTATTTTCTAACTCCTCTAATATTGGTAAAATAGAATTAAACAAAGTTATAAAAAATTTAATTAATAGATAGTTTTTAGACTTTCTTTTAACATAGAGTTATAAATATTTATTGTATTAAAAGTTTCTTTTTTTGTTGGATCATAATTACCACGTTCTTTTTCTTTGGTAATAAATTCTTCAATACTTTTATGTTCTTTTTGCAATTTTTCTACATTATTTTCCAGTGCACTAACTTGAACATATATATCATTATTTTCTAAACGTTGTTTTATTTCATTATATTCTGATTGAATTGTTTTAATCTCTTCTTGTTCTTTTTCTTGTTCATGTTTCAATTGTTCACATTCTGCTATTAATTGGTCTTGTTTTAGTGTCAATTTAGTTTTCAAAGTATCTAAATCTTCTGTAATTATTGATTTATTTTCTTTGTCAGTCATTTTTTCATTAAACTCAGCAAATTCTGCTTTAAGTTTTTCTTCTAATATTTGCATTTTATTAAAAATTTGCTGCAACTTTAAATTTTCTTTTGTTAATTTTTCAAAATTACAATCTTTGTTAATATATTCATATTCATTGAAAGATGGTAAACTATTAAGAATAGCCATTTCATCATTTCCTATAAAATCAATATCAATATTTAACATATTCGAAATATTTTCTAAATATTCAACTATTGTATTCTCTAATTTATGCAATTTTTTAGTTTCATCTTCTTTATTTTGATCAAAAGAACTCATAAATTGTTCTATAGTTTCTTCTCGTTTACGAAGCTCGTTATATTTAATTTGTTTTTCAGATTGAGTATCTTCTATATCTGCTTCTAATTGTTCAAGTTTTTGTTCTGTTTCTTGAATTTGTTTTTTTTTT